GGCCCACGGCCAGCCCGGCTCCGGCCACCTTCCACTTCTCTCCCTGCACCGTCCCCAGGCTGTCCCCAGATGGCACGTCTTTCTGCCACCTTCCCAGCTGCTGCAGAGCCTGTGGCACCACCTGGCGGTCACATCTGGGATGGCAGGCCACTCGAAGGACTCAGAATGGGGGGCCGAGGCCTGGCCTGCCCACCCGCCTCCCCAGCCCCTCCTGCCCATCCACTGACAGGGACAGGGGAGGCTGCTGCTGGGGCTCCTGCAATGGACCCCAGCCCGACCTGCGGGCAGCCGGGGAGACGCACTCGGGGAGGCCAGGGAGCGTGAGTGAGCGAGCCGGAGGGGCCGGGGGACGCGGGTGCGGAAGGCACTTAGGGAACAGCCCCAGGCCCCGCCCCCTGCCTCCGCAGCTTCCAAGGACTCTTTCTTGTCCTTCGGCTGAGCTCGGCCTCTGCGGGAACAGGAGGGAGATGGGAGAGGCGGCCGGGAGGGCGGGCCCTGTCGGTCCCCGGGCGGGAGCTGGAGAGAGCCACGTCGTCGCCTGGCCCAGCCCCCGCCCCAGGACACGCGTGGTCTGTTCGGGCACAGGTGCCTCTCCCTGGGTCACGGGGCCCCGCTTCTCAGAGAGCCGCCTTGACGCATCCTCCCCGCTCTGCCCTCCCTCTCCGCGTCGGACCCGGTCTTGGGGGCAGGGCCCCCGTGGACAGCGGGAGCCTGGATCGGAGCAGACTGTCCCCGCTCACTAGGGGACATGCCAGGCCTTCAGCCCACATGCCAGGACAGCGTGGGGCTCAGCCTGTCTCTGGCCCTGAAACTGCCAACATTTCCTGGAGCCTGGAGGCTCAGGGGTTTGAGGACAAGGGGGCAAGTCCTCCCAGTGGTATGGAGGTCACGCAGGGGTCTTCCCGGCAAAGGCAGGCGTCCCCTCCCACCTGTGACATAGGCAGGGGGCCGTGGAGATGGTGAGGGGGCCCACGGAGCCCTGAACGAGGGCCCAGGTCCCAGCGTCTAATGGTCTCTCGGTCCCCAGGGCCCAGCCTGCAGTGGGCTTCGGCAACCCAGACTCTGTGGTCCTGGCCCCCGCCCTGTGCCCCCTACACATGTCACACCAGGGAGCTGCTGGCTCTGCCAAGCACAGGATTTTTGCCAGATGACGGCGGAGACGCGGCCCAGAGACAGGGCTGGGCCCGCAGAGCCGCCGCCTCCCCAGCTCCCCCTCCTGGGAGTGGACGTGGGCCAGGGCTGTCAGCCCCTTTCCGACGCGGTTCTCCCCTGCCAGAACCCACCACCCGCCCAGCTGGAGCTTGGGCTAAAGGCTCAGCGTGGGGGGCCCTCCCTCCGCCACGGCAGCCTCTAGGTCATTCGCAAAGGATTTGTCTAATGTTTTAATGAAGATAGCATAGATGTCACCTCCCCACACACATGCGCACGTGCCCTCCGTGCCCCAGTCCCCACCCAGGGCCTCGGACCCCCCTCACTGGCCCCTTCCGGGTGATGGCAGGCCCAGCTCTTCCTCCCGAGGGGCCTGGCCTGGGAAATGAGGCCCCCAGATGTCCTCATGTGGAAAGGGTGCCCCGTGGTGGCAGAGGCTCACTGTCCCCCTGTCCTGTCTATGGTCTGCGGCTGGGAGGCCGAAGGCCTCTGCTCCTCTCTTTCTTCCCCAGGGACTGCACGGCCTCCTGCTCGGACCCCCGAGGTCTCCTGGGGTCCTGTGCACGGCCGTTGTCCTCCACGTCTGAGGCCGTAGGCACCTGTCGTCACCCGGGGCTGTGTGGCTGGGCAGGGCCATCCCAAGGGGAGGCGGGCTACGAGCTGGTTTCTGCAAGACACAGAGTACTGGGCTGGTCCCGGGGGGCCGCTGTTCCCCCTCAGCCCCTACACACACCAGGCGAAGGCCGTGCAGCGAGGACTCAGGTCTGGCGGCTCTGCCTTCGGGGCCACCGCGTGCCCTGTGAGCTCGAGCAAAGTCCTTCCCCAGACCCTCAGGCACCCGAGCCACCCAGACACGCGGCGCCCGCCTGAGCTGGGCCTCTGAGAGGCTCCTGACGGCCGAAGGCTGTTTGAGTACAAATTCAATTCTGAATAATTAAAAGTGTTCAGGGGTGATCATTATTATTATTATTATTATTATTATTATATATGAGATGTTTAAGTACTATTGGGGGAAACGTTCTCTCATGAATATGGATTATTTGCTGAGGACGAGATCACCACCAAGCGAGTCGGCCTGGCTT